CATTAGAAGAAAACACTCTAATTCTCACATAATTGAAATGAACTCTATTATAGAAATAGAGCATATTGAATTAAGTGAATCAACCACTTCTCATTATTCATCAAACCAAATTGTGAATGTCTTTATTTGATATTTTTTATTGTATTAAAATAAAAAAACTGTTTATTTAACATGATGAAGTATAGTATAAACACACAACTAAAACAAGTCAATTAACAATCAATCTCCAGGTTCTTTGATTTGAGTTTCTATGGGTTGTTTCTTTGCATCAAATGTTGGTCGTTTTATATGCACATCTATTGGATAAACTATTAAGTTAGTATTTGGATGTAATATAAAAGAAACGTTAAAAACAAACAAGTATCAAATTCAGTGTCACATATTTTAATGTCCTTTTGTTGTGCTTTCTGTTTTTGATTCATTTGTTGAACTGGATCAAATAAGGGTGAAGAGTATTGAGCTTGCATCAAATAGAACAAATGAGTTTTTTTAAAAAAAGGAAAAAATAAAAAATAAATAAAAAAGAACTTAAAATATTAATAAAAGAATGAAACTGTCAATATTCTTTATCATTATTCTCAGCACTTTTAAATAATTATAGGTACTAAAACCTAATTCCAATTTAATACCCATGTGTTGTTGTTTCCGATCAACTAAGAGTGATGATGCAAACAAGTTATTTCACCTGGATTTAGTGAAGAGTTATTTAACAACAAAGTAGAGATAGAAAAACGATGGAAGAATATGAAAGAAAGACATTCACAACACTACAAAGATGTTAAATACAATGGGGAAGAATATAAAAACGATCCATTTTTCCAAAGAGAGTTAACTAAAGAAGGACAAAGATCGTTAGCAGAATTGTTCCATAATACAAAACAACAGAAAGACGAGATAGATGATCATATAAATTGTTATCATGCAGCTATTTATGATAATTATGCGGGAAAAGATGGAGATTTTAGTTATGCGCGATTGAGGGCACATATATTGAGTGATCCGGAAATAATAGAAGGAAAAGAAGGGAAGTTATTAGTTGTTCCAGTGACGTATTTTATTAATCCAACACCATCAATTGATCAAAGAGGAAAAAAGATAGAGAAAATGATAGACGAGAAAAAGTATTGTGTTTCAGCTATTTGTATTCTTGAACCATCAACAGGAAAGATTAAATCATTGACAACAATTGATTTAACAGTGATGAATTCAAGAGAAAGTGCAGCATTAGTCAGTGGGATTGAAAGTATTGGAAAATATGGAATACCAGATACAATAATTGTTGGAAATGCAGCAGGAAGAATTCATCAAGTATCATTAGATGATGGGAAAGTAAAAGATCCACAAGGATGGCCACTTCAAGTAGGACCAATTATGGGAAGAATAGTAGTTGAAGATGTAACAAGAGATGGAGAAATAAATATTGTTACAGGAGATATTAATGGGAATGTAGTTTGTTTTGATATAACAGGAAGAGTTAGATGGGAAATGAATGGAGGAGGAGGAATTAATCAAGGACTAGAAATAGTTCGATTAGTATTAGGAAGAAAAATAACATTAATAATTTTTGGAACAAATAATGGAAAAATTCATTGTTTAGATGGAAGTAATGGAAAGAATATAGATATATTCCCTATTACACTTGGAAATAGTAGTATTGTTGGACCAATAGGAGTATTTAGAGATGGAGAAGATATAAATATTATTGTTTCAACAGGAAATGGGAAAATAACAATTATGGAAATGAAAATAATAACAGAAAAAATAAGAAGAGATATGAGAATAATGGAGAATTTAAAAATAGTTACAAAAATAGGAGGATATGATAGTAAAATAATAAAAGCACAAGAAAAATCGGAAATACTAATATTTACAGGAAGTCATTCAATAGATATTGATGATATTGTTTATAGTAAACCAATAAGAATAATAAGAAATAATGGAAATAATATTAATCAAGAATTATTTAAAACATCTAAAATATATAAAAAAATAGGATGGGATAAAATGAAATGGGAAAAAAGAGTAGAAGAAGTTAAAAAACAACAAGAAAAACAAAAAAAATATGAAATGATAGTAAAAAATGAATTAGAAGAAGAAAATAGTAAATCATATATAATTGGAACTAAAAATGGAATGATAATATGTGTAGATATGAATAGAAAAAGAAAAGATATTAAAGAAACAAATAATATTAGAGGAATATATATTAAAAATATAGATATAAAAGAAAAAGAAGCAGTTATAATAGTTGAATATGAAGAAGTAGGAGATAAAGCATATAGAATTATAATAGAAAGTAGTGATGGACAAAAAAAAGAATATATGAAAGAAAAATTAGAAGAACATACAATAATGAATAATCAAGAAACACAAGGAATAACTACATATTCATTTGTTATTGATATTCCATCAAGACCACAAACAATAACATTAAAAATTAGTGGATATAATTCAAAAGGAATAAAAACAGAAAATACAATAGAATATTCAGTACATACAAAATTTTATCAATATATTCCAGAAATGATTATTATACCATTTTTTATATTGTGTTTAAGTATAATTTATCTATTAAATGATTATTGGAAAATAAAAGAAGAAAAAGAAGAGAAAAAAAATAATCAATAATTAATATAACACAATAATTGAATAATTTTAAAATAAAAATTTTAAATTTAAAAAATTAAATAAAATAAAAAAAAAAAACTCATAAAAATAAATTAAAATATGAAAACATTTATTATTCCATCAATATATCCTGAAATTCATAAAACAGAATGTATGTATTGTCCAATATCTATTGGTACAGAAATAAATGATAAATTATATATTTGTTTATATGATGGACAAAGTTTTTGTGAAGAATGTCTTCATCTTCATCAAGAAGTTAGTAAACATCAAAATTATTTAGTTATTCATGAAATAAAAGAAAAAGAAGAAAAAGAAATTTTTAAAGAAAAGAAAAAAGAATATTGGATTGAAAACGAAAATAAAGAAAGAATAAATATAGAAAGTCTTGAAGAAGGAAAAATAAAAGAATATATTAAATATATTATTGGAAGTACAGGAATTGAGAAAAAAGTTAGAGAAAATGAAAATAATAAAAGAAAAATATATACAGAAAATATTCAACAAATTGCAAGAAGTAAAAAATTAGATTTAAATAATATTAAATGTGAAGAAGAAGGATGTGATATTAAAGATAATCTTTGGTTAAATTTAATTGATGGAAGTGTATATTGTGGAAGAGAACAAATGATGATTAAAGGACATTCACATGCATTAAAACATTATGAAAAAACAAAAAGACCATTAGTTGTAAAAATAGGAACAATTAGTAGTGATGGAACAGCAGATATTTATGATTATGATAAAGACGAAGATGTTAAAGATCCATTACTAAAAGAACATTTAAAATTTTATGGAATAGATATTAATAAATTAACTAAAACACAATTAAGTTTAGATGAAATTGCACAAGAAGCAGCATTAAAAATGGAAAGAGATAGAATTGAAGAAATAGGAATAGAACATAAATTATGTTTTGGACCATATAAAACAGGAATTAAAAATAGTGGAAATACATGTTATGCAGCAGCAGGAGTTCAATTAATAATTGGAATTACAGAAATAAGAAATAAATTAAAAGAAGAATATCAAAATTTAATTAAAAAAAATTGGAAAGGAATTGAATATCATATAACAACACAAATGGCTAAATTAGTACAAGGATTTATTTCAGGAAAATGTTCAAAAGAAGAAGAAAAAACAGGAAATCAAATTGGAATGAGTATTATTGGATTAAAACAAGGATTAGGTCATTATTATCAAATGTATAAAACAAATGAACAACAAGATAGTAGTGAATTTATTCTTCATTTAATTGATAGAATGGAAGAAGAAGGATTTAAAGAAATTAAAGAAAATTTAGAAATAATAATAAAAAATGAAATTAAAGGAGAAGGAATAAGTATTAATATAACTAGAGAAAAAATGTTAGAAATGACACTTGATATTCCTTATAAAGTTTTAATAGAAAGAAAACATATTAATTTATATATGGAAGATATTATTAAAATGTATGGAAATATAACTCCAATTGAAGGATATCAAAAAAATGGAAGATATATTAATGCAACTAAAAGAATAAGAATTGGAAAATTTCCAAAATATCTTCTTATTAAATTAGAAAGACAAATTATATTAAATTATCAAGATATAAGAAAAGTAGATGCAGATGTTTTTGGAATGGAACAAATTGATTTATCAATATTAAAAAGTAATGATAATGAACATGAGAAAATAGAAAAAGTTGAAGTTAATCAAGAAAAATTAGAACTTCTAATTTCAATGGGATTTAATGAATTACAAGCAAAATCAACATTATTAATAACAAATAATGATATAGAAGAAACAATAATAAAATTAACGAGTGAAGATTTTAATGAAATACAAAATACAATAAAAGATAAATATAAAGAAGGAATAACTATAATGAAAGATATGGGATTTGATGAAGAAATATGTCAAAAAGCACTTGAAAAAACAAATGGTGATATTGAAAAAGCTATTATATTTGCAGCAACAAGAGAAGAAGAAAAAGAAGAAGAAAAAGAAGAAGAAAAAGAAGTAGAAAAAGAAGTAGAAAAAGAAGTAGAAAAAGAAGTAGAAAAAGATAATAGAAGTGGAAAATATGAAATTATTGGATTTATATCACATATTGGAGCAAATGTTAATTGTGGACATTATGTATGTCATATGAAACAAGGAAATGAATGGATTATGTTTAATGACAATAAAGTTTATCAATCCCAAAATCCACCATTTACAAGAGGATATCTCTATCTCTATAAATCAATAGATTAAATTAAGACAATCCTTATTTTTTTTTTATTTATTTATTACTTTTAAATTATTAAAAGCATATAATAGAAAAAAATAAAAAAAAAAAAGAAAGAGAATAAAAAAGTCAAAGAAAAGAATTGATAAGTTAAAAAGAAAAGGTCTAAATGAACATAAATAATGAATGAAAATGAAATACGAATACTTATATTACGATCACATATTGGAGGAAAAAAGTGTTGGATTGAACTTGCTAAAAATTGGAATAAATATGGAAAATATAAAATAGTAACAATATCTATGATTAATTCACCATTTTCATATAATGATTTAATAAGAATTATGCCAGATATAATTATATGTAGTGATACTGCAGGATCACCAAGTTATTTTACTGTAGATGAATCATTTTCATTAAAACAATTTATTACAAAAATACCATGTAGAGGAATTATTGGTACATATGCATGTTTTTATCATACTGAAGGATTTGGAAATTCATTACGTATTTTTGATAATAGACAAATTGCACCATTATTTGGAATTTCAGATGATTTAATTTTTATATCATCAAAATTAAATGATAATATTCTTTATACTAATTATTCATCTTCATATCTTTATCAAAATATAGGTAATTCTCATAAAATTTCTGGTTATCAATCATCAAAAACACCAAAAATAGGAACTTGGTTAAAAGATAATAAAATTATTGGTTTATTACCAAATGCTTCATTATTATATCATACTCTTGATTATAAAAGTATTATTGTATATTATCATCATAAACATTATCATTCTTTATATATTAGTTCTATGCCTGAATTCTCATCTCAAAGAACTTCTTCTGATTTCCATTTAATTTATCATTGTATAGTTTCTTTATTTCTTCAATCAAAACAATCTCCTTTATTATCTTTATCACTTAAATCTATTAGTGATCATCCAACTATTCTTTATGATCAATTAATTACTAATAGATCCCTTGAAAAACTTCCACCTTATCTCCAATCTAAAGTTTTATCTATTCTTAATGGTCAAATCCATTTTAATAATGATGATATTATTTATCTTTCTTCTTTCAATTTCCCTTTCTTAAAACAACCTTTTCAAATTGGAAGTCCTCATCATTCTACTTCTTCTTTATTAATTTAACTTCTCTTTTATTTTCTTTCTTAATTTTACTTGTTTTTTTTCTTTTTTTCTTCTTTCTTTATTATTGATATCTTCATCTTTCTTATTATTCAATCTCTTCAAAAAACATTAATACTTATTCTTTCTTATTTCTTTTTTTATTTGTATATTTCATTCACTTTATACTACACTTATATTTCATCAATCTTTTCATTCTATCTATTACTCTCATCATTTTTATAACACACTCTTAAACTATTACTACCTCTATTTTGTTTCTATTATCTTTTCTGTTATACTTTCATGAGAGAAAATAATTCCATCAACTAAATAGATGAACTCCAATCAATCTTCACATAAAAACTTATCTCATTCAATAAAACATATTCTAAAAGTGAATAAACTCTGCCATAACCAATAAAAGTTTTAATCATCGTTAATTATCTTGTTAATACATAACTATCTTCTCTATTCAAAAATAATTTGATATTAATTCTAAAACTAACACATCACTTGTTAATCAAATGATTAGAATCAATAATGCAAATTATGTTAAACTCACTTTATTATTTAAAATATTATATAAACATTATTTGTTCTTCATATCAAAAACCATTCATCATATATAACCTGTTCAAAGCACATTAATTCTAATAATAATCCCTTTGATCAAAAAATCTATCAAAAATTAATTATGAAACTCATTACCAATCTTCATTTAAACAAAATTGATTTATTATTAATTGACTTCTATTCTTTGTATTATTAGAACTAAAGTAAAAGAGTATATGAATGTTTGTTCTCTCTAAAAAAAATGATTGAAATAAAAAGTATGAAAATGAAGTAAAGTCTTTTTTGACTACATTGACTTGAAGGAACAATCACATCGATATATTTTATTATTTTCTTCATTAAAAATGGTCAATAACAAGAAGAAAGAAAATGAATTTATAAAATAACAGTTTTTATAAATAATAACTATGAAAGGTCAAATAACTACGAAAACAATAAAAATATTTAAATCTCTACATAAAATATTATTTTAAATAAACCTAAGTTAGTAAATAATACATAATAAAATATATATCAATCAACAAGAATTTTGTTTAAAAGATAAGTGTACTATTTGTATGTCTTTATATTTTACAATGTTACCTTAATTCTTTTAATTTATTTTCAAAGAATATTATAGATATTTATCTTTTATTGTATTTACTTAATAATCTTAATTTAATTATGAATTATTTTTGTATACTACAAATAAATATGATGATTAAGTTTATGATTTGTTACTTTATTATTTTTCCTTTCTTTTTCTGAAATACTCAAGTTTATTGTTACAATGTTTTTAATAAACATCAAGTCAACTCATCAGTAAATAATCATTTGTTATTTTATAGATTTAGTTTAATGTTCTCTTTTAATAATAACTGAAATGAATTTACTCTAATTTTTTGAATGATTTTGTTTTCAATATTTTTAACTTAACTTTTACTCTTATATAGTGTTTCTCCATGATTGAGTTGGGTGGTAATAAAATTCTTTCATTTTAATGTTATACTATGTTCATGTATAACACAGTTTCATCTTAGCAAAAAATAAAGAGTATTATAACACTATTTAGTTATATAACTCTGAAATATAATGTTAATCAAATGGTTATTATAAATACATTGAAATTGAGTTTCAAAAAGTATTTACTAATTGTTTTACAATTATTAATCTATATATTATTCTAAACATTAGTGATTGTTCAATATTGATCAAATGTTAAAATTAGATAAATCTGTAGAGATAACAAAATAAATGTTAGTGAAAACATGAATTAAACTTAACTAATGCCAAGTATTCCCAAAACATATGAGTTTCTCAATTAAATTTAACAACGATTATAAATAATTAAACTCTCTGATTTGATGACTTATAATATTTGTTAAGGGTAGTTTATTAAAATAAAATTTATGAAAGTGTTTTGTTCTTTCTTTTAAAACTAATAAAAAGTTCAGTTATACCAATTATTCTCACACAAATAGAATAGACATTGTGTTGTACTATTAGTATAATATTAAAATTAGTTATGATAAAATACGTTATTCTGGTGTTATGAAGAAAGAATGAAAAATAAATGTTTTTCTTTGTTTTTTATTAGTTTTTATCTTCTAATATTAAGTGGTTGGGCTCTTTTACATGAACTAAGGATTTAAGTTCTTCCTTATATTTTAATAAATTAATTGGTAATATACAATAGTGTTGATTGAATCAGTCAATTCATATATGCAATAAAAGAATGAATGAAACATAAAAAACAGAGATGAAAGATAATAAGAAATTGATTACAATCATTAAATAAATTGTTGAGATTTAATAGAGTACCAACCTAAAATTAATTTTCTATATAGAAGAATAATGTCAAACAATAACAAGAAGAGTAATGCTGCTATAGAGAGAAAAACAATAATGAATGATCCAATATCAAACCATTTGTTTTCTTCATCAACAAGAATAGAATAATTATCAAATAATGGTTTAATAATACAAAATGGAATAATATATAATACTCTTAAAATTATGAGAAGTGAACATAAAGATATTATAAAAGAAAATTTAATATTCAAGTTTTGTTTTAAGAATTCAATATTTTTAATTACTTCAAGAATATCTAATATAATGATAAATATTACTGAAAAACGGTAGTAATGAATAATAAAAGTGTATATCAAAAATAATCCTTTTAATAATTGATAAGCAATTTCATTATATTGAGTAAATGAAGTAACAAATTGGAATATAATTGAATGAATAATATGTCCTAATTGAAAACAAATAAAGAATAATAAACTTGAAGATAATAATATATTAGGATAATTTTCAAATAATAAGAATGAATTTGTTTTTTCTTTTCCAAACAATTCTGATGGAAACCAATCTTCCAATCTAAATACATGAAAGCTAAATGGAATTAAAATAAAATTAATACAAATGTCATAAATAGAAGTTGCATATAAATGTCCTTTTTCTCTACGATGTAATTTAGGTAATGAAAAAGGAAGAAGAGAATGAAATAATGGACGAAGAATAAAATATTCAATAATTATTCTACACCCACTGATAACACAACATGGAATAATTGTTCCTACAAGTTCTTTTATTAAATGTGGTAATGAATTTATTTTAAAAGTAAATATTAATGGTAAATATATTAAAATTAATGGTATTAATGCAAGGTCAATGTGAAAATGAGTTTGATCATTTTGAGCACCTTCAGTTTGATAACTTAATGGATCATTAGGTATTTCATCTTCCATTTTCTAAATGAAAAAAAAACTAATTATTTTTCTTTCTCATTTAAATTCCATGTTTTTTTAAGATTTTTAGATTTTGGATTTTTTTTATTTAGTTATTTAAAACACAATTTTTTAATTTTAATATTCTCTAACATGTCATAATTAATTTTTATTATTTAAAATATTCTATATCATGAAAAGAAATTAATTTTTATTGCTGAGATCTCTTTTCAATAGTTCTATCATATCTATTGATTGTTAAAATCAGCAAGAATAATTGAGTGTATTTACTTTTCTTTGTATAGAACTTGAATAGAAAATAACACATCAGATACTATTACTTTTTTATTCCTTATAATAACTAAAAGATTTTAATTTATATCCCTCATTTATTAGTTATTACGAATTACACTGTTCTTAATACATCGGAATATTTATTGTGTTAATACGCTTTGTTAAAAATCTAGACAAATAACTTTTTTATGAATCTGAATATAGAAAGTTATTAAAGTTATTCATTTAGTATATCAAGAAATAAAGTTCCTCACTTGTGGTGAGTTTTAAGGTCATATCTTAAATTATGAACTGTCATCAGAATTGCACAACAAAACAATAATTGGTCATAAATTAAGGAGTTATTGAGACAATGGAATATCAAACAAACCCAAAGAAGTGGATGGGTTTGTATTGATAAAAGATGAATGTGGAAACAATTACCACAACAAATGAGGTTTCACTTGGACTATTAGTATTAGTAAAACAATACATGAACAGTGTGATGGGTGGAGGCAAATACCATCATTAGATCTAAAAAACAATGAGAAATGAATAAAAAGGAAAAAAAATAAAGAATTGAAAGAAAAGAATAAGGATACATTTATAGACGATAATTTACTAGATGATTAAGAGAGGTAAGTAGAGAAGAAGGAATACAAGGGATTTGAGGAATAGAAGATGTACATAAATTTGACAAAGAGTAATGAGATAATAAGAATTGAGCAGTAAATGGTTGAATAAAAGAGATTGAAGTTAATAAATGTTCAAACACTGACTCTCGATCAATTAACCAATCTCTTGAATCAGATTGAGGAGTAAGAGAGTGAAGAAGTAAAGAAAGGGTTGAAGGTTCTATTGAAAAATAAATAGGAAAGTGGTATTTCATGAAGAGAGAAAATACAGAGATGAAGTAAAGCAATGAAGACACTGAATTGTGTTGAAATAAGAAGCAAACAGAGTTTGTGTTAAAATAAGAAGAAATAGAGATTATATTGTCTTTCCAATTAATGTAAGATAAATCAATGAGAATAACTAATTGATTTGGTGAACAAAATACTAGAGAAGATGAACAAAATCTTGAAATACATTGAATAGATAAATTTGACTGAAACAATTGGAAAACACTTTCACTCACAATACATTTAATGGAAGAATTATTTTGAATAAGAAGAGGAGGAAGATAATTAACAATTTGATGAGATTTAATTTCTTTTAGTTTTACTTGTAAAGTATCAATATTTTTAATATGTTTTCTCAATAATTCATTTGATAATGCCATTGAACCAATAGATGGAATTTTTTGTAATGAATTAATAATAATAGTTAATGTAATTTTATTAGTTAAACATAATTCTCCAATTAAACTAATTGTTAGAAGATCATTTGGAAAAATAACTAATAATTCTGTGATAAGATTCCATTTAATTTCTTTAATTTCTTTTGTTTGGATTAATGGATTAAAAGAGATAAAATCAAAGAGTTTTGTATTTCTTGTTTCTATCCAATGATTAATAATCTCTTCAATTTGGTTATTGATAATTATTCCATTTTCATAATTTTTTTTAATTTCATTAAATTCTTGTTGAGATAATTTATCAATAATACTTCCAATATCATCTGTTTGAACTAGTTTAGTTATTAGTTCATTAGGTTGGTTTGTTTCAATGAGAAGTTTGAGTAATTTTTCTTTCACTGGACAACTTTCTGTATTAATGATATGTGATGCAATTGGTTTAAATCCTTTTCTGATAGAATTCTTTTGTTTTGTGATTTCTTCTTGGTTAATTTTGTCTATATAATTAAAACAAATCCCATGATCAGACAACTTATTAATATAAAAGACTTGATTGTATCTCTTAATAATATCATCTCTAACATCCTTTAAGTTAATAAATGAAACCATATTATTATTATTATTTTCTTTTGTTTCATCTGATTTTATTATACCAAATGAACAATTCGCGTCATTTTCAAGATAATATGTTATTAATAATTGAATATAATCAAAAAATATTGGTTCACAACAAATAAGAAATTTTGCATTTGGTTGAATCTGAATTAGAGAATTAATTTCTGTTGCAATGAATGAAATTAGATAACAAGGAGATAAAAGTAAATTTCTTTTCTTTCTATTTTCTGTTGTCATTGTTTTATAACTTTGAACAAAATCATTACTATCAGTAAGATAAATAATTTTCTTAATATTAGACATAACATTACTTGGAATAATAACTTCTTTATGTTTTTTATTCCAAGGGAAGCATTGATCAATTTCATTCATCTGAAAAATATTTTCATTTGTTAAGTTAAAGTATTGGTCAACTTTATTCATTAATTTCTCTCGAATTTTACTTTTAATCTCAATAGGTTTGATGTAAGATAATTCGTTTTTTTTATTTTCTTCTTTATTTATTCTTTTCTTAAATTTACTCTTTCCTTTATTTTGTATTACGGTTTTTCTTTTTTCAAACATTTCTTTTAGTTCTTGAGAATATGGTATATTAAATCTTGTCTCTTTTATTAATTTTTCTGCTTTTTCTATTTCTTCTTTTGGATTTTTAATTTGAATGATTTGGTTCTTTTGTGGTATTTCTTCTTTTCTTTTTTCTTCTATTTGTTTGTTGATTTTTGATGTTATGGATTGCATTTCATTTAATATTTCTTGGATTTCATTCGAGTCAATAGAACTTGTTTCCTCTTTATTGTCTTCTTCTTCTATTTCAAAGTCATCATTTGCCATTGTAATTTTTACTTTTTCTTTTACTTTTTCTTCATTTCCTATAATTTTATAATCTCTTTTTGGTTCTTTTAATTCAACCATTTTAAGTAGTGCTATTCTTCCGAACTTCTCTTTGAAAGAAGCAGTGTTAATATCAAATATTCTTAAATTATATTCTTCAATAAAAAACTTCTTTGTGATAAATGGAAAAAGTAATGTTGGATTTTTTATTTTGACATTTGGTAGTTGTAAATTATTATTATTTTTCATTTTCCAAATTATGTCTTTCTTCTCTTTCCATTTTTCCATCCACTTCTTTCCATCTTTCTTTATTCTTTCCCAACCTTCTTCATTTTCAATTATCATTTTTGTTTCGATTTGTATTTCTTTTACAATTTCATTTTCTAGTATTGGATCAAATAAAACTTCTTCTATTTCAAAAAGCTGGTTGTCTTTTATATAATTTATTTTCTCATTAATAAAAGATTTTTCTTCATTAACTAATTGATAATGATATGGACTAACACCTATTTTTAATCCATCAAAGTGACAATATTCTTGTACTTCTACTTTTTGTTGAAATGGAGGATTAATAAATTCCTCTTCGTATTTATCAAGTATAATTTCATCCATTACAATATCAACCTCATTCCAAATCATTTTAAAAACTTTTCCATTCTCAACCTCTTTGTTAATTGTTCTACAGCATTGTGTTGGAATATCAAAATTACCTATATCTTCTTTTTCTGTATCTGTAATTATTTCAAATGGATTTTGACTAAACACCAACTCAATCATTTTGCTTGAAGGAATTTGTTGAGCGTTTCCAAGACTTAATTTATCAAAAATATCATTATCTATATGGAACTCATCAACAAATGGTAATGGGAATTCCATTAATTGATTATTTGAATGATATATTTTTTCTGAATTCATTTTTTGTAATTTTGGATGGTTATATTCAAGTCTCATATTCATCTTATTATCTGCTCGTACCCGGATTCTTTGTTTCTTCAATTTCTTGCTGATCAGCATCCCAAGAGTAGGAAATGAAAGACGATCAAATGATGGAATCTTACATTTAATAATTTTGTTTTTATTTCCTTTCATTGATGACGTATTATCTAGTGAGTATTAAATGAGTACATAAGATTGTTTATTGAACAAAATGAAGATGAGGAGATTCAATCCTAAAAAAGAAAAAGACAAAAATTCAAAATTTAGAATGTAAACGAGACACAACCATTAAAAAAATCTCTTCAAAGAATTAATTAAAGAATAAGAGGTTCATGAAAATAATAAAAAGGAGTCAAAAAAAAAAAATTATAAGAAATAAAAATTGTGATGCAAAATTATATAGGTGATGAATTTTATTTTAGTAAATAGATGAACTAAGAATGAAAGACATAGTCAGAATGGACACGAAAACGAAGAGAGTATGAAATAAAAGACTAAGAGATAAAACCAATGAGAGGACAAATAGAACTATATTATTCATCGTATGGTTGTGGAGAGCGAGTTGGTATCAGTACTCGATTAGAATGGCAAAAAAGAAAAATCACAAGAAATATTCGTATCCAAAAGTTTACTTAGAAAAAAGTAATGTACGAAAAAAATGGGTATTAAAGAACAGTTACGGAGATTTGTAACAGAAGAAATTAAACCGAGGTTTATGATATATCCTTACAGAATATGAAAATGAAAATAATGAAAGGAATATTAGAAGAAAAAGTATATATTTTTAGATTAATAAAAAGCAAGAAAAATAGAAGTAAAAGTTTGTATTTCTGAATATTGAAGTATGTGAAATATAGGTATCAATTGTTGTATTGAGGATTTGATAGAAAATGAGCCATTGGTCAATGGCATAGTTAATTGTAAACCAAATGAACTAATAGATAATGACATGCCACATGAAAAAGAGTCAGAAAGTATAAACTTAGGAGATGGGTTTATCAGAACAGAAGCAAGTGAATTATTCTGATTTTGAAATTCTTTCGTTTCATGAAATTATGAAGCTTTTTGATTCTATTTTTCAATTTTCTTTAAAACTCGATCCAGTATTACATTGTTCATTTTAAATTAACAGATAAGACGTTTGTTGAAGCAAATAAGTGTGTTTCTCAAAAATTTGATCATAATTATTTTGTTAAACAAAAATGATCTTACCCTTATGTTAAATTATACCGTTTACAATATCAAATAAACGATATAGTTCTTTATCTAAATTAATGACTATTTATTAGTCAATATGAGAACGATTCTAAAAATATTTACATACCTAGTGATATAATTTTTATCTCGGAGGTATTCCATAGTATGCAAAAACATATTACCCTTCTTTTAAAAATGATCTAATTCGATATAGGCGTTATTTATTTACTCGATAATTTATGATAAAAAATATAAATGTAGTGTTCTAAAAACTTTGTTTGAAATAAAAAGTATACCTTAAAACAATATAATAGAAATAACTTCAAACACTAAGTACTTCTATATTCAAAAACATATCTTTAGTGATTAAAAATGAATGTTACCAAATGGAATAAAATAAATTATCGATTGTGTATTTATTTAAAAATTCTTTTATGAAGAAAATATTTGCTGTATTCAATCTTTTTTGAATTTATTAATTTAAAAAAATATATTAACACTAGAACACTTGTTTTCTTGGTGCTATATAAAATTTAAGTTGTGTCAAAAATACTGAGAATAACTTTATATATATTTACATGTTTCTAAAAATGGTAGTCTGGTTTAAAAAAGTTATCACTCTTGTGGCTATTTATGACCCTTTATACATTAATTTATTATAACACCTGTAATTCAAAAAGAACAATAAAACAATATAACTTACCAATACATTGTGTTTTGTTTTCTATGTCTGAATAC